CACCCCCCGGCCCCATTTTATCCTAATATTACTTTTCCCAGGGAAAGATCTGATTATCCATCAGGATTTCCGAGTTATGCAGCTTGAGAGAGTGCCAGCCTAACGGCAGATTTTGAAGCTGATCTCCTTGCATTTCTCATTAGTGTTGTTCCCATGACCATGTCCAACCACCTTTCTCCTGGGCTTGGGTTTCAGCCTTCACCATCATGTTTGCTAACAAGAAGCCCTTCATCACTGCCATCCTCGGAGCACTGGTTGCACTGTCCATCATTGCCCTTGTTCTCAGCCTGGTGAAGATTGAAGATGTCACCCTGCCACCCACAGTCAAGGTGAGCCCAAAAGAGTCCCTCAGAACTACAGCAGGGACCAGTCACCCTCAGCAGGAGCTCACAGACTTTGGAGTCAGGAGGTGAAGGGGAGTTCAGTGGGACCTGCCTTGTAGTAGCTGGGTAGGTGTTTCCTGCCCATCTCAAGATCCAGGTAGAAGAAATACAGCCTCGCCACCTCGAAGCCAGGGAGGGAAGCCTCCTCTGAATCTGGACACCATGCTATGCATTCGACATTCGGAGATTACCTTGGGGCAGATGGGTAGGGCAAAGCCCTGTCCTGCTCCCTCTGCTCTCCCAGGGCACCACACTGCAGGGTGATACACTTCCATATGGCCTTTGTCCCTACCAGCTCCCACCAGCCTGTCCTAACCTGCTCACAGGACAGCACAAGCATCGCGGCTCCTCCCCGTCCCTCCCCTGCAGCTTGGCATCCCACCCTGGCTGCTGGAAGAGGGCTGGCACAGTTTCAGGGTGAGGTGGAGGGCTTTCTGGGGGAGAGGTATGTGGTTGGGTGCTCATGGACTGGGGCTGGTCCCTGCCCAGACTGGGTGCAGCCATGGGGGTAGCAGCACTGGAGATGGGGGAGTTGCTGGCTCAAAGGTGGGGCCAGTGTAGAATCAGAAGTTATGTAAACAAGAAAGAAAATGAAAAGGCATGAGGAAATAAGCAAAAAAAATGTTTGTGCGAGCTGGCATTGCCACACAGACCTCAGGAGAGGGAATGAAAGAGTCCCTCAGTTGCCAATGGAAATGCCTGTGCTGAGGCCACACTGCTCTGCTCTGCCACGATGCAGATATCTGTGCCTCCGTGGGGTGCCTTTGGGGGCATTCCCTGGCCTGACCACCCTGGCAGGGCCATGGTGGGGCCAGGGCCGTGCTGCTGCTCTGCCACCAACATGACAACATCTTGGGTTTTCCTTCCAGTATGGGATGGTGTTTGATGCAGGCTCATCCCACACCTCTCTGTTTGTCTACGAGTGGAATTCGGACAAGGAGAACGACACCGGTGTGGTCAGCCAGACCTTGTCCTGTGATGTCCAGGGTCAGTATCCCCCTGCCATGGGCTCAGTGCTGCCCTGCGTCTTCGTGTGGTGAGAGGGACAACCTGGGCTCCCTCTTGTTGGCAGCAATGTCCACCGGGCTGTCGCTGCCGGCCCTTCCTGCAGGCAAGGTGGTCCCTGACTCCCCGCTGGCTTTGCTCCATGGTTGGAGGGCCCTCAGCACCATGTAGTACCCACACGCTTGGTGGGACAGAAGCACCTTGGTGCTGCTCTCAGTTTTCACTCCTCCACCTTGGGCTGCTCCTGGGTTGCCCAAGATGCTGTCCTGGCTGTGGAAGGTCTCATCCATAGAGCTGGGGACACTGCTGAAAGCACGGGGGATGTGGGGAAGCCATAGGTCAGGAATGGAAGCATGGGTTAGTCAGACCTCGGGGGACCAGGTGACCGTGGCAAAGCACCATTTGTTGCTAAGAGGTGGCAGACCTCACTGCTCTATGTCCCACACTGCTCCCCCTCATTGCTCCCACATCCCTGTCCCCAGTCCTTCCTGTTAGCTTGTCCCGGTCTAACTCTCTTGCAGGTCAAGGCATATCGAGCTATGCCAATGATCCCTCAAAAGCTGGTGATTCCATAAGAGAGTGCCTGGATAAAGCCCTGAAGGTCATTTCTGCTGCAAAACAGAGGGATGTCCCAGCTTATTTCGGAGCAACAGCAGGCATGAGGCTACTGAGGTATCGCTGTGGGGCACAGGGGTGACAGGGCAGTGAGCCACTGCCAGGACACAGCGTCCTGCATGGGTACAGGCTGCCAGGAGCTCCCAGCTCTCATGCTGCCACGAGCAAGCGACGGGGGAGTTGGGAGAAGGCAGCCCACTGGGGACCACCAGGGGGGCGGGG